TTTAACATAAAACCCTTCAACAAACAATATTGAGTAAGGATTTGATACTATAGTGTCAAAAATTCTGTTCTGATCATGGTTGTCTTCTTGAATTACAGGAACACAAGTACGGGATTCTCCTTCACAGGGTTATGGAGTTGCTGGATTAAGAGTGCTACACCAGTATTTGGTTACATGAGAAGGAGAAAATGATGATAATTCATAATTAGTTAATCAATCAATAAAAAAACGAGTGGTTTCTGCTAGCAATAGTGATTGAGTACGTGTGCCACCATTAGACTGAAAGGCCTAGTAGAAGATCTGAGGCTATTTTGACTTATTAGTTGAGGCCTGTAATTACTCAGCAGCACAGAGATTTATTTATTTTGCTTCTTTAAGAGCTAGGTTTTATAGGCAATGGTGTTTTAGTGAGTTAAAATCCATAGAGCATGGCCTAACATTTTCATGTTTGTACAAAATAAATACATAACTAAATAAATAATGCAATTAAGGAAAAAAAAAATCAATCTGTAATCTTATGGACTCTGCTCCAAGTTAATCTGCCTATATCGGTGGAATCTTTCATCCATAAGAATTCTGGTACCATAGCTATCTTTTTGGTACTTTCTAGAACCACATACATTCCCATATCTAGATGAACTATAATCCAATCAAGTATAAGAGCTGCAGTATATTTTTGTCTAAAAGTAGATCTTTCTTACTACATTTATAGATGTTTGGGTTACAGATCCCCAAGACCACCCCAGGTAAAATGATTCACTAGGACTGAGAGGACTCAGCATATAGTTGTATTCATGGCTAAGGGATATAGACAATCTAGAACAAAATCAGCAAAGGGAAAAGGCACTTAGACATAGTCTGTGGGAAACCAGATGTAAGCTTTCAAGGGTCCTCTCCCAATGGAGTCATACAGGACATGCTTAATTTCCCTAGTGATGAGCTGTGACAACACGTATGAAATGTTGTGTGAAATGTTGCTAACCACAGAAGCTTGAGACTCAGTACCCTGGGTTTCTATTGGGGGCTAATCACATAGGCCCCACTGTCTGGCATGTACCCAAATTCCAGACACACAGAAGGAAAAGCAAGGTTCAGCAGAAACCATATGGTTTGTACAAACAGTTTAGTGAGTCACTCTCATCAGTTGATGTTGGGAACCCTCCTGAAATTTAAGTTCCTGGACGCCAGTCAACGCTCAACCTTGCAAACAGGCTTTTCCAAGGAGAGCAGTTCAGGCTTGCTCTGTTGATTATTTTCTTCCCAGTGTTGTATCACAGAGAATAAAGAATATCCCTCTGATAATGATCTCAAAATATCAGTTATAGTTGAGACACTGAATTGTTAGAGATTTTGACTACCTAAGTGGTTCTATTAAACCAAGGTAAATAAAGTTTATTTCTTCTCAAGTCCTCCACAATTTACTATATACACTCAAATTTTTCTTGTCTTCTTTTAAAAAAACCAACCTGGCACTATCATTTTTACTTTAATACAAAATTTTTTGTTTTCTTTTTTCATGAGAAGTCAATTTGCCTTTCTTCTTGCTTTTTAGACAATCTTTTACTCTGATCTAGAGGTGGAACTAATGATAAAGTGATAACTATATAAAATATAGGGAAATAGAAAAAGGATTGGTAATTGTTGGGTGCTCTTGTTTACATTGGAGCCATATCACTGGATAGATTTTTGAATAGCTGTCCTGTTTCTTAGCTGGCATGGTACATAGCTTCTTTAGTGGTCCTTCTATTCACTACATTTATACGTATCCTTATCTGTAGACTCTCACATCTTAGAGAACAGAGACACTTTGGGGTATTTCATCTACAGAGCCATACGATATACCAATTTCTAGCCTATTTACTTTTTAAAGCTATCTGGAAACGTTGAGCCACATATTAGATATTTTCTAAACTAGCAATTTTACATTTTAATTAGTTTATTTTTTATTAAATCTACAAAAAAGAGAAGACAAGGCTTCTTTAATTCCAGATACTGAATGTAACCCAGAATACTTTTTGAAAGTTTCCTGAAGTCTGTTTAAGTTACAACATTGAAGCTTTGTCCAGACTACCCTTAAAATAGAGGCTTCTATTCATTGCTTTATATTTTTTCTTTTTATATTTAAAAAATTTTCACAGTTGAGTTTTTAAAAATCTCCTCTTTCATGCCTTGATGATTTTAGACATTTTTCCCTTCGGAAGGGCTTATAAGTAACTAAATTAGTTGGTACAGATCTGTAGCTCATGATAATAAGTATCTTTAAGAGTTCCAGATTCTATAGCAAAAATTTGCCTGTATTGCTGGAGATTAGGAAATTCTTTAATTACAGGCATACCTCATTTTATTGCACTTCACTTTACTGAGCTTTGCAGATAATGCATTTTTTACAAATTGAAGGTTCGTGGCAATCCTGCAGTGAGCAAGTCTATTGGCACCATTCTTTCAACAGCATTGATTTTTAATTAAGGATGTGCATTTTTAAAAGATATAATGCTATTGCACACTTAATAGACTGCAGTATAGTGTAATTATAACCTTAAATGGACTGGGAAACCAAAAAATTCATGTGACTTGCTTTATTGCAATGTTCACTCTACTGTGGTGTCTGGAACCAAACCTGCGATATCTCCAAGGCATGCCTGTATGGCCCTTAATTTAGCTCTAGACCAGGATTTTTTTTATTGAGATGTAACTGATACACTAGGATTTTAATTTAACTTCAAATATGTATCAACTGATAAATGCATAAGCAAAAGGTGGTATATCCATCCAATGGAACATTATTTGGCCATAAAAGGGAATGAAGTACTAACACATGCTATATAATATGGATGAACCTAGAAAACAAAATGCTAAGTGCCAGAAGCCTGTCACAAAAGGTCATGTATTATGTGATTCCATTTGAATAAAATGTCCACAATAGACAAATCTATGGAGACAAAAATTATATTAGTGGTTGTTTGGGAGTGAGAGGGGAGTGTTTGGGGGAGAGTGGGGTGATAGTTAAAAAGTATAGAGTTTTTTTGGGGGTGATGAAATGTTCTAAAATGGATTTTGGTGATGGTTGCACAAATTTGTGAATATACTAAAACCACTGAATTGTACCTTTCAAATGGGTAAATTGTAAGGAATGTAAATTATTTCAATAAAGCTGTTAGAAAAAAAGGGAGAAATGAAAGCCACAACATCTATTTCACAAAATAGAATAAATATGAAAAGTTGCTCAAATTCATTTTCAGAAAAATGCAGGGGCTTCCCGGGTGGTGCAGTGGTTAAGAATCCGCCTGCCAATGCAGGGGATATGGGTTTGACCCCTGGTCTAGGAAGGTCCCACATGCCGTGGAGCAACTAAGCCTGTGCACACAAGTACTGAGCCTGCACTCTAGAGCCCGTGAGCCACAACTACTGAGCCCGTGTGCCACAACAACTGAAGCCTGCACGCCTAGAGCCCATGCTCCGCAACAAGAGAAGCCACCACAACGAGAAGCCCGCACACTGCAAAGAATAGTAGCAACCGCTCACCACAACTAGAGAAAGCCTGTGCACAGCAACGAAGACCCAACGCAGCCAAAAATAAATAAATAAATTTATTTTTTAAAAAAAGAAAGAAAAATGCAGATCAAGACCACCACAAGTTACTCTTTTATGCCAATGTTCAAAACTATCAAATGCTGGAAAAAATGTTGAGCTCTCCTATAAGATTGCTTGTAGGATTGTAAATTAGGAATAGTACTTTGGAAAACAAGTTGTCATAGCCTTATAAAGTGAAATGTTCTCATTTCCTGTGACCCAGGAATTCCACTAAGTATATACCAATAGAAAGAACTTTCTGATGAGATTAGTAGTGATATTAACAAAGGTGATCTTTGGTAACGTATAACGAAATGTGCCAACATTTGGAAGACGCACATTATTCAATGACAATATTTTTCAAATGACCAATGCATACTAATACAAAATCATGCATGGGTAAAAGATCCATTCAACATTCAAGATACACCAAAGTATTTTAATGTAACAGTATAAAAAGTTCACTGGTATGATTTCAGATTCCTCATTGCAATTAATCTTTGAGAAACTACTGCTTGTCAAGTTTTGGTGTTACATAAAAGGAGAATATCCACAATTATCTGAAAGGGCTATTAAAATACTGCTTCTTCTTCCAACTACATACCTATGCCAGGCTGGATTTTCTTCCTACTCTTCAACAAAACAACACAGCACAATAAAGTAAAGGTAGAAGCCTTTCGGAGAACTTAGCAGTCTTCTATTAAACCAGACAAAAAAGTAAAACATAATGCCATGCTTCTAATCTTTTTCATAAAATCTTGTTGTAATTAAAATATAATATTTATGTTAACATATAGTGGGCTCATTATTGTTTTTAAATGAATTCTAAAAGTAAATATTTAAAAATTTCCGAAAAACAAAACAAAACCAAAGTAAGCAGCAGGAGAATATGCAGGTTAATGGCAAACATTTTCAAATGGTAGACCTCCAAAGCAAAAGGTCTATTAACCTGGGCTTCCCTGGTGGCGCAGTGGTTGGGAGTTCGCCTGCCGATGCAGGGGACACGGGTTTGTGCCCCGGTCCGGGAGGATCCCACATGCCGCGGAGCGGCTGGGCCCGTGAGCCATGGCCGCTGAGCCTACGCGTCCGGAGCCTGTGCTCCACAATGGGAGAGGCCACAACAGTGAGAGGCCCGTGTACCGCAAAAAAAAAAAAAAAAAAAAAAGTCTATTAACCTTATTAAACTTTTCAGTGTAACTACCAAATGGCTCTATTCCAAACCAAAAGGTCTAATTACTTAGAACAAAGACCTAAGCGTAATAATCTTGTGAAAAATAAACTACTTGGTTATACAACCCAGGCTAAAAGAATACACACAGTAATGAGAATTCAATGAAAGTAGAGCTCAGGCGGTTGAGACTGACTCACCTGGCAGCTGACCTAATGGCAAAGTTTGGACCAGTAAGTGTACCTGTTGGCCCAGAGCTTACCTGGAATACTGCCAAACGAGTTTTTAAAACAATCTTGGTGGAAATTCCAGAATTACCAAAGGATAATGAGACTGCCATTGATATCTGAAATAAAAAGACAAAGCTGAAATTTACTGCTTACTATAGTAATCTAGAACTATGCTGGTCAGGCAGAGTCTGAGCAAAGCCAACTACTGGACCCAGGGTTTTTGGGAGGCATGGAGCTCAGGATGGGTGGGCTTTGAGAGGCATAAAAGGGTTGGCGTGATCCTTCAAAGCTTGGTTACTTGAGTGACTATTGTTGACTGGTTGGTACTCAAAGGCATCTTTTCTGGAGTGAATTCATGCCTGATCAGCTGACTGTAATACGCAAGAGGCTAATGATGATCAGTTGGCTTACAAAAGCAGGTTCACGGAGATGAGTTGTGCCTATCAACTGAATGTGTTCTGATTGTGACTTTGTTCTATGGCTACAGAAAAATCGATCTTTCCCTAAATTTGTGAGAATTTCTCATTCTGATTTTCTTACATAACTACAATACAATTATCAACGTATTTGTTGTAACATATCTTTGTTCATATTTCACTACTCCTTTAAAGCAAAAAAAATGTTTTTAATTGAAGTATAGTTGATTTACAATATAATATTAGTTTCAGTTGTACAGCATAGTGATTCAATATTTTTGTAGATTATACTCCATTTAAAGTTATTACAAAATAATGGTTATATTTCACTGTGCTGTACATCTTTGCTGCTTATTTCTTTTATACATAGTAGTTTGTATCTCTTAATCCCATACCCCTATCTTGCCCCTACCCTTTTCCCTCTCCCTACTAGTAACCACTTTAAGCACTTTGTTCTCTATATCTGTGGGTCTGTTTCTGTTTTGTTATATATATTTGTGTTATTTTTTAGATTCCTCATATAATTGATAACATAGAGTATTGTCTTTCTGTCTGACATTTCACTAAGCATAATACCCTCTAGGTCCATCCATGTTATTGCAAATGGCACAATTTCATTCTTTTTAATGACTAAGTAATATTGCATTGTGTATATGTATATGTATATATATATTACATCTTATATACTACATCTTCTTTATCCATTCATCTGTTGATGGACACTTGGGTTACTTCCATATCTTGGCTACTGTAAATAATACTGCTATGAATGTTGGAGTGCGTGTATCTTTTTGAGTTAGTATTTTTGGTTTATTTTGGATACACACCCAAAAGGGGAATTGCTGGATCACGTGGTAGTTCTATTTTTAGTTTTTTGAGAAACCTCCATACTGTTTTCCATAGTGTCTACACAAAATTACATTTCCACCAACAGCATACAAGGGTACCCTTTTCCCCACTTCCTCGCCAACCTCTATAGACTTTTTGATGGTAGCCATTCTGATAAGTGTGAGGTCATATCTCATTGTGGCTTTGATTTGCATTTCACTAATAATTATTCAATGCTGAAAATGTTTTCATGTGCCTGTTAGCCATCTGTATGTCTTCTTTAGAAAAATGTATTTTCAAGTCTTCTGCCCATATTTTAATCAAGTTGTTTGTGCTTTTGATATTGAGTTGTATGAGTTAAAGCAAAATTTATTGTTTCCAAAATGTACTGATCCATGATCATGCATGCATTTAGTTGTCATGGCTCTTGTATCTTCTTTATTCTGAAACAGTTCCTCTGCTTTCCTTTGTTCCTCATGACCTTGTCATTTGAAGAATATAGGCCAGTTTGTTGTTTGACTTTTTTTTTTTAATTAATTAATTAATTTTTGGCTGCATTGGGTCTTCCTTGCTGCACATGGGCTTTCTGTAGTTGCAGCGAGCGGGGGCTACTCTTCATTGTGGTGCGCAGGCTTCTCATTGCAGTGGCTCCTCTTGTGACAGAGCATGGGCTCTAGGCATGCGGGCTTCAGTAGTTGTGGCGCACGGCCTTAGTTGCTCCACGGCATATGGGATCTTCCCAGACAAGGGCTCGAACCTGTGTCCCCTGCAATGGCAGGCCGATTCTTAACCACTGCACCACCAGGGAAGTCCATGACTTTTGTTTTTATTGGACATGCTTCAATATGGATTTTTCTGATTCTTTCCTCATGGAGAGATTCAGGTTATGAATTTTTGGTAGGCACACCGTAGAAGTGATGTTGCTTCCCCAGTGAATTACCTAAGGGAATCTCAGTGATACTAGTTTGTGCAAGTTTTGGTGATTTTCATAGGTGTCTCCACTGTAAAGCTGCCATTTATCTCTTCTTATTTGCTTATGAGGAGATACTTTGAGACTGTGCTCCCCATGAGACTTTTGCTCAATGGTTTTTTTTTTTTTGCGGTACGCGGGCCTCTCACTGTTGTGGCCTCTCCCGCTGTGGAGCACAGTCTCCAGACGCGCAGGCTCAGCAGCCGTGGCTCACAGGCCCAGCCGCTCCGCGGCACGTGGGATCCTCCCGGACTGGGGCACGAACCCGTGTCCCCTGCATCAGCAGGCTGACTCTCAACCACTGCACCACCAGGGAAGCCCTGCTCAATGGTTTTAACACTTACTGATGATTATTGCCTGAATCGATTATTACTATCATGGTTGCAAAATGGCAATTTCCTAACTCTGTCATTCCTTCTCCTCCCTATATTTTAAGTATCAGTATGGGCTCATGGATTCTTTTTTTATTCAATGGTTTATAATCCACTGTTCCAGATTCAGCCAGTGGGAGCCCTTCAAGCCGGCTCCTGAGTCCTTTAAACATGTTCCCAACATTTTTAAGCACTTGTTTACTTTCCGGCACGAAAAAGATATTCCAGGCTCTTCTCATACTTTCTCAACCCCAGCCCTGGTGTTAGTCATTTCTCTAAGGATGTCTGATTCCTTTTAGTGAAACATTTTTTTCCATTAAAATATTTTGGATTTCACTACATATTAGTAAGTATATAGTTAGCTGACTAGTATTATACAATATAGATGTACCATAATCTATTTAACATGTCCTCATTGGTTGTTTCTAATCTCTTTTTTTTTAAATCAAACAATTCTGCAATGAAATGTCTCCAAACTTTATTTTGTTTATGAATGAGCATATTTGTAGGATAATCGCTTAGAAGTGGAATTTTTGCATCAAAAACTCTGGAAATTTGTAATTTTGATAAATACTGCAAATTGTCCTTCCAAGAGATTGTACCAATTTACATTTCTACCAGTATCATATGAGGGCTGACAACGAAGCTTACAAATTTAGGTCAAAATTCTGTTTTATCCATAGTACACTTCGAGGATTTAAATTTTTCAGTTATATTAGCTTACTAGAATAGGGAGTTTAAGAAAAATTTCCTTAATCCAGTGATCAAGAAAAGTAGAGCATTTAATCATGCCCATGAGTAGCCCTGGTGATGAATTTGAACTGGATTAATTTTCTAAATTTGTGATTATGTTCTTTCTCCAAAAAGGCCTAAAGCATAACAATCAGTCACTATCCCTTTTGGCTCCTCAAGGCTGTCAGTTTCAATTATCTTTGTAGCTTTGAGCTTCTAAAGACTTGTTTTCTCTCCATGAATCTGCTTTGAAATATAAGCAAACAATTTCTACCATACATGGGTGGGTTTTTTCAAAAATAGATTTTTGTATTCCAATTACAAATAATAGTTAAGAGCTGTCCTACAAAAGTTAAAGAAAACTTGTGCCTTGAACACAGTAGGAATCTCAGACTTTGGTATTGAAAAGAATCATTCAGGTGCATATTAAAAATGCAGATTATTGGACTTGTCTAAGAACTTCTGATTCAGTAGGTCTGAGAGGTATAGACCAGATATTTGCATATAGAGAAGATTTCCGGTGATTCTGATGCAATGATCTTGGAACCACACTTTGAGAAATATAACATTAAATTATTGCTGGTGGACTGTAGTCTCATACTTTTAATGTGGGCTAGGAAACCCATTTCAGTGAAAAAGTGGTGTTTTTTTTGGAGGGGATGGGAAGTATTCATGGTTTTATAACATGTTGTTTTACTTAAACCTGAGAAACCAATGTTTCTATGGCTAACATTTTCTGAATATTTATAGTATGTACACACTCATTGTTTAAGCAGTTTCCATGAATTGATATTAACTTACATATACCTCACAAGCCCATGAGGCAAGTACAATTACTCTCATTTTGCAGCAAAGGAAACTGAGGCACAGAGGTTGAGTGGCTTGCCAGTCACACAGCTAAGAAGTTGTAGGGTCAGGATTCAAACCTTAGCAATCAGCCTCTGTTATACTATGTTGCCCCTCTCTTTTCATTTTAACTTGAAGGGGCTCAATTTTCTCATCCGAAAAGGAGTTGGCTTGGTCCTAAATGGTAGGAGCTCTGCACAGCTCACTGGAAAGCGTGTAACTATATGTACAGATAAAGCCTTTGGTCTGTTAAAGGATTAAAAGCACCTCTTAGTTAATACAATTGTATAATTTTGTGGAGTAGGTCTGAATGCAAAGGTAGTAGATTTCGTGAGGGTCCTGGGGGATGTTATTAGCTATATATTTTTATTGTATCTGAACTAATGATGGGATGAAATAATCCTTAAAAAATTTTTCTTTTACCATCTATTAACTGCTGAAAAGTCCATCATGGGATCTTTTAGCAACACAGGACTAAAAAGCTAAAACAATCTCAAAGACTGCCTTTCTTTAAATGAATCCAGTGAAATAGTTATCATGTTGGGTAATGTTTCAAATGTCTCTCAGAACCCTCATACCCCACAATTTTTAAATGACAAACTTTAAACTAGCTCATGTATTTCAGAAAAAAAAAAAGAAACCATGTGATTTTTCAATTAATGTAATGTATTCATGTATTCATGTAATAAACACCAATTAAATACCTACTATGTGCCAGCATTTGTGCTAGGCACTAGGTAATAATATTTATCATTTACTGGACTTTGATGTTGGTGTTTTTCTTCTCATCTTACTGATGAAGACACGGCAAAGTTAAGCATTTTGGGGGCAGATCTTAAGTTGCACAGTGGCAAAGCAGTATTTCAATCCTCACCAATTTGACTCCAAAACTAGGTGCACTGCATTAACTTTAGTAATTTGGATTACAGATGGATACTTTATTTTACTAAATGATTAACTATAGTAAATAGTGAGTTTTCATAGGACCCTTTATATTGAATTTTTCTTACAATGTTCAAGAATAAATCTACCAATGAAAACCATACCCCACAGGGCAGAGCTCATTAAATGTTGATGAATGAATGCAGCTTAAATAGATTAGTTTTGGGTTACACATGACTACAGTAAAGTTCCCTAGTTTACTCTTTAAGCTTCACATTGCTTATTTGTAAATCCAGGAAAAGTACTTCATCTTAGAACCATTGTGAGGAATAAATGAGATCATCTATTAAAACATCTAGCACTCAGTAAAAACAGTTAAAAAAAAAGCAATATTATAATCCTGAAATTATATGTTTAGGCCATAAACTGGGATCCTAGTTGGACAGATCTAAGAATTATGAGGTAAGAAGAATTATTAGGACCACTGGGGCAAGTAGGAGAAAGGAGTCGTTGATAGATATGAGATTATATGCTTGATCTTTGTTGAAAAATGTGTGATTAAAGACAAGAATGGGGAAATTAGGCAGGAATATGCGACTGAGGTTGCAAAACTTTTCATCCTGAGGGAGATGTTCTGAGGAGAAACAAAGATATAGGATTGGGAGAGGCAAAGCAGATAGATATTAGTTGAGTGAATATATGAAAGGATGGATGAATTAATTCATGGACAAATCAACAAATTAACTCAAAATATTCATTGAGTGTCAGGTAGTACAAATTTATTGCTCAGTGGGAGCAGGTCCATGATGGTGGCTTCAGAATTCCTATAAAAGAGAAGCTTGGGAGTAGCAATCTGGTTGGAAGGGTGTCTGGAGAAGGGTCTAGGTGGTGAATGAGATTTGTCTAGACTTTATAATCTCTTAGTACCTTAGATCAGAAAATACTAAAGAACAGGGAAGGGGCCCTGATTGAGATAATGGCTGGAACTAATTTCCCTCAGGCTAACCCTCAACTCTGCCACTGCAAATGCACAAAACCAAATCAATGGGCTACTCACTTTAACAGGTCTATGTACAAAGCACTATGTCAGCATGGAGGCAAAAACATTTAATTCTCCATTGGGACAGAGTAGATGAGGGAAGGATTTCATTAAAAGGTGTGATTTTAGTTGACTCATTTATCACACTTGAAAAATCGACTTAATATTCTAAACACAAGGAACAACATAGACCTTCAAAGACATAGAAAAGTTAGAGATCCTGGCAGACTGTTCAGAACCTGGCTTAAGTGGGGGTCAGGCTGGAGGTGAAGCAGTGGCCCAATAATAATAGGCTTGCATGTTATGCCAAGAGTTTTGAAATTCATCCTGTTTGATGGGAACTGCTAAAGAATCTCAGGCATGGGAGTGACAATGATAAAATATTACATAACATTTTAGGAAGATCACTGTTCTACACATTTGAAAGAGGAGCAAGATGACCACCCCAACCTCTTCTCTATAAATGAGAAATTCGAAAAAAAAAAAAAAAAGAATAGAACAAAGGCCCTATACACAAGGAATTTACATTCCAGTGGGGAGAGGCAGACAATAAAAAATAGATATACGATGTAATATCAGATTGTGATAAGTGCTAGAAAGAAGAGTAAAGACGGGTAAGGCACACAAGGATTGAGTGGAGGTACTTGTCTAAAGGCAAACAATGTTCTTTCCACTTATCTCGTAGCTACCATAAAAAATAATAGGGTTTCAAGATCCTCTCTCACTTTCCAACACAACAGCTCCACTATACTGAAATCTCAATGTTGCAAACTTCTCCATGTATTTTATTCATTGTCTAATAACCTCTTTACCTTCTTAAGTATTGTCTTGCCAAAGTCAAGCAAATTCCCCTCCAAAGGTTAAAGAACTTGTTATCAGGCTGAACTAAAAAGCTGTGTCTGCCATTACTTCTACAGTGTCTCTACACCTCACCCAGACACAGCTTTTCACCATTTCTTGAGTCTTTAATTTCCAGAGGTAGGCTCTGGAAAAACAAAAACAAAAACTTGCAGGTCTCCTTTCCATCTCTTCCTTCATCTTTTTATTTGATACATGTTCTGTGTTGAGTGCTTGGTTTCGCAGACATTTTGCTAGATGCAGATAACACAGAGGCGGGCAAACCACAGCCTGAATTCTGGAACTGTGTGGATAAGCAGTTGTACTGTGTGTGGATAAGTAGAGGCTCAAGCCAGGTGCCTGGAACCTGTGAAGCCAGAGTGGAAGGAACAGTTGCTGTTGGGCCTTAAATGCTTGGTTTAAAGTTGATACAATTCTGTGTGCTGTGGAAATTGCTCAGAGGTCTATAAAAAGGTAAGAATTGACTTTCATTAAGGGTATACTGTATTATTTCATTAAGGGTATACTGTATTATTTCATTAAGGGTATACTGTATGTATTATTTTCTTCTGACAATTTCAAAGGACTTTTACAGGCCATTTAGGAGGGGATTATTCAGCGTTCCTATTCACTTTGTTGTCTTCACTCAGAGTCATGCACATTAGATACTGAAAAAAACATAACAGCGTAATTTTGGTCCTAATACTTTCGTTATCGCTCGCTTGCTTTACTTGTCATTTGCCACGAACTTCATTAGCACCGCGTGTTAGGCCCACGGGCGGCAAGTGCATTTTGAGAGGTGCAAGGTTTTATCTGCCTAAAAGTCCAGTGCCCTCCAATCTAATTGGACAAGATTCAATCTGTATCTTTCCGTATTAACCATAATCAGACTTTCATAGAGTAAATAGTTATCGCAATCATTGTTATGAATTAAGTCACACGTATACAACTAATGGAAAACTTGTTCCCTATGAGTACTCAATTTCCAATTCGTTCAAAACACCAGAAATTTTATACAAATCTTTTCGTGTATTTTCTGCATTAAAGTTCTCTGAAAAACAAACAACAACAAAAAACAAAACGGGTATACTGTAGTTTCTCCAAGTGTTAACTGTTAGCCAAGTCCCACCCTTCAACACCTGAGGCCAATTAAAAGAATGCAGATCCTAAACCTACGGAATCACAATGTCTAAGGGCGGGGCCCAGAAGCCAGCAGTTTAATCATGAATATCCCCAGGTCATTGTTATGTATACTTAGAACTTGAGAGCCTCTGGACTCTCCAAACTTTTTTCAGTTAGCTTTCACCTGAACCTGAAGTAGGTACTATTATCATCCCTATTTTACAGAGGAGGAAGTTGAGGCATAAAAAGGTTGACTAACTTGCTAAGGTCACACGGAACTAGGGTTGGAATCTAGACCAATCTAAACGCAGCTCTTAAACATCACAGTACAGTTATCTCCTGTTGCTAAATGATTTGTTGCTAATACTTCAAGAAGTACTGGACTTGCAGTTTGAAGACGCACTAAATTTAGTCTGGTAAACTTGGGCGATTCACTTACATTTTGAATTTCAAGTCCCTCGCGGGTTAAATACGGGCCAAAACACCCCCACCTGCAAGGTGACCTGAGGGGCAGGGCGGGGCAGCAGGCAGGGAAGAGAGGCGATCGATGACTCCGGCGCGCCGCTGCCTGTTGGATTGGCTCGAGCCTCTCCCGCCAGGCCTGTCCTACTCCCGCGCGCTCCGGGGCCCGCCCCCGCCGCCATCTTGGTCTAGGAGGGAGCGGGCCGCACGCGTGAGTAAACAGCCGGAGCCGGGAAAGTCGAGGTCGGGTTGCGTCCGGGTGCTGCAGGGCAGCAGCGGAGAGGACGCAGGCCTATCTTCGTACGTGGGGGTGAATATCGGGGTCACAGTGATAGGCGGCGGGGAACCGTCAGCCTGGCGCAACCTCCGCCCCCTCGCGGTGAGACGCCTCGCTCCCCGGGCTTCTCCCGCCGCCGCGCCGGTCTCCTCCCGCTGTTGAAAGCTGCCCGGGAAACTGGTGGCGGGAGCGGGCCTTGGGCGGAGCGCGGCGTGGGCCTGGGAGCGTGTTGCGGCGCGCAGGCGGAGGTTCGGAGCTTGGGTTTGTGCGCGAGGGGCCCGGGGCGTGGACGCGGTGGCTCTGGGAGGGCGGGGGCGGGCGCGCGGGGCTGGGTCCCGGACTCACGCGGAGCCGGGCGCGCGGGGCTGGGGCCTGGACTCACGCGGGGCCGTCGCGGAGCTGTTTCCATCGGTCACTGGATTGTCTCCTCTTCCGGTCCGGGCTTCAGGGAGGGGCCGACATGACGGCCCCGGGCCACAGCCCCTTCGTGCCGCTGTTGGAGACTTTGGAAGACCCTTTCGCCTCCCATGGAGAGCAGACCGACGCTTACCTGACTCTGACCAGGTGAGGCCTGCTGGGGGTATGGGGTGGGGCACCCTGGCGGGTCTTGGGGAGGAGATAGTCCGGGTGGGGCACGCGAAGCGAGTTTGTGTATTCTGGAAGTCTGGCAGCTGCGGGGACGCCGGGGTGCGGTGTGCTAGGTGACGTTCCCGGCTGCGGGTGCTGCTGCCCTTAAGGTGCAAGTTTTGAATGAGGAAGCCTGCACGTGTGTCTTGCAAGCGAAGGGTTAAGAAAAGTTTGGTTGGAAGGGAGCGTGCTGGAGTAATGGTTTTTCAGCGTGAGCCACCTGTGTTTCGGGACAGTGGGGGAACCCACAATTGGTTTTTTAATAGAGAGCAGTAAACCGAGTTCTCTTTTAATCGCAAATGCTTCCCACGTTTTTTTTTTCCCCTGCAGACCATGTTTTTCTGAGTTAAATGTAGTTTGGAAATTGCAAGGAAAGGGTAACAACTGGTACAAAGCTTTAAAGATTTAGTAAGTTTCTTAGTTTTTAACTAGGGGTAGATTTCCCTGTTCCCTCTTCACATAGGGAAGCTGTCAAAACCTGTGTACAGTGTGGATGCACAAGTTATTCTGAGGGTTTCTTCGTATTTGTATTCTTATATGTTCTTAAGCATCTTAAGCACTGGGTCAATTAATTTGCCCGTGTTCTAACAATGTTTAAAAAGATTATGCAGGTATTTCATAGTTCATTTTTTGTGTCTGCTGTTTGCATAAATTTGTGTTCTTTCTGCTTTTCTGAAGTCGTATGACTGGAGAAGATGGAAAAGAAATCATTATAGAAATTGAGAAGAAACTTCCTCAGCTATTCAGAGTTTTAAAGGTATGTATGTATATTTGTTGTAAATAGTTTTTACTTTGTGGGGAAAACAGGTTTTGCCAATTAATTCAAAAACTTTGAGTCTAAAATGAAATAACAGCAGGGTTATTATAGTACTATTTGAGGACTTACAGTGTATCAGGTGCTGTATCAGGTGCTATCTTAATTATCTTGTTTTCTCTCACTTAATCCTCCCTGCACCAGTGAGGCTAGTCTTTAATCCCCACTTTGCAGAAGATATTAGTTTCATGTGCCTAAAGTCGGCCGTGGCCACTTGAATCCAAAACTTGCACTCTTAATAGGAAAGCAGTGATCAGAGATTATTTAATCTGTTTTTTTTTCTCCTTTTGTAGCAATGTACTTTTAAATAAAATGAATCTGTTGTTTTGTCATGGGTCTACTTGCGTGGGTAACATTCATTTTTTTATCTTCACTCACGCTTAGTTTTTGCCACTCTTGCTTAGTTAAAAAACCGCTTATGGTTATCTTGTTTGCTTGTTTATAGGGAGGTTGTGTAGTTTAACATCAAACTGAGGACCTGTACTCTTGTCACTTGAGTATACTGTGTCTTTGTGACTTGACTTTCCTTAACACGTAACTTAATTTCTTTGTTTTTAGAATAAAGAGGTTGAACTAAATCTCCAAAGTCCCTTTGAGTTCTTATTTTTGTGACCCTGTTTTTGTGCTTTTAAACGGAAGTATTCTGTCAAGATGTTCATTATACATTTTACCATGATTTCGGGCCAAATGTTGAGGCATTGGGGGTACTACCATGCCTACTCTTAAATATTCCTGTTATAGTCATCAGTGGTTTTTGTTCACGTAAGCAAGAACTTTATTGTGTAGTAGGTCAAGACTTGTTAATAGTATAAACAATATTAATGGTATTATTTATTGTCCCATTTTTCTTCATTGTCATTTTCCACATTCTTGTAGTGTATTTGTTGTGATGAAGACATGCATAATGTATTTGGTATTTGAAAGCATGTAGGATCAGAAACTCATTTGTATGCGTTTTGAGTCAAGTTGCATTGTTTGTAAATAGGGTTTGTAACTAAAATGCCTAATTATTTAGAAGCATGTGGGTGGTTAATAGGAAAATCAAAAGTTGATCACACACATATTAGCTACTATCTAGGAGATATAGTAGTAGCTCTCATCGTCTTAAGTGTTTAAGACTTTGTATCTCAGGGTGTAGTATTTTGGATGTTTGGTTTGATTAATTATGAAAGGGGTGCTCCAAGGAAGTGTCTCTTCTTATATTTGACTACTAACATTTACCATTCTTCTCTGTCAAGAGTAGCAGATAGTCGAGGATTCCTTGGATATTGGATTCAGAGAAATGGGGGGATTTGAAGATAAATCACTTTGGAATGGGAAATGGTACCAAGAATGCAGGGTTACAAGTAAATGTAGGGTTGGGGCAAGACTCCCTTGGACAGGTTTGGGATTTTATAACTTTTACATACAGAATATGCATTGGGCTTTGAATTCCAGATGGTTATGGACTCAAATTCTCCTGTCTGTGAAGTATTGAGATAATGTTTAAAGGTCCTAGCTAAATAATGTTTAAAGGTCCTAGCACTTTAGCTACTTAGTAAATGTTACATTCCAGCTCCTTCCCTCTCTGTTAGAGGTGTTGCTCCACTCCATAGCTAATATGTCAGCTTTTGCCTTTGAGTCTTGCTTTCTTTTTGTGGAAGGGTTTTGCTCCTACTCTTTGTTTCCTGTCTAGTGTCTTCAGCATCTTCCATTTGTTAGCTTTTTTTTTTTTTTTTTGCTTTCAGATGTGTGGAGATATTCTTTTCCTTTTAAGAAAAATATTCTTTATTTAGCTGATCTCTACCTAGTTTCCTTCTTTCTTTGCCAAGGTGTATCCATGGCCTCCTGATCTTAATCCTTTTTAATCTGCTCTCAAAGATCAGTTGATTGTTGGAATTAAAATGTAATTTTGTTTTTAATCAACTTTTGCTGTCTAAAAATTAATTTACAGTTGTACTTGTTTGTAACAAATGTTATTTTGTTTTCGAAGACTCACATTGCCAGTCAAAACTCAGAGCTCAGTAGTGCTGCGCTGCAGGCCTTGGGGTTTTGCTTATATAATCCGAAAATTACCTCTGGATTATCAGGTAAATTTATTGTGATATAGTATTTTTAGAGTTTATAGTTTGATACTGTTAAAAGTACTGTTACCTCTCTATTAGTTTCATAACCTGTAGTTTAGGATTTGCTTCTGAGAAAGTGTTTAGGTTATATCATTGTTGGAAGGTTTCTTTTCCTTAGATGTAGTTCTGACTTTGTTACCATAAGGTTTGCTGTAAAAGAAAATAAAATAAGCCTATTTAAAAATAATTGTTGCAAAAACTGAACCTTGTCCTTTATAAAAACACACCTGCTTTGGAAGTTTATAATTAGATGGAATTAATTTTGGAAGTTAGATGGTCATTTATTTTACACAAGCATGTGTTAAGGAACATGCTGTAATTTGAAAAGTTCTTTCACCTAGTGGTAAATGAGATAATTTGGAGCTAAAAGTGGTAATGAAAGCACAGGATCTGATGCTTTTCTGAGTTTTCAAGCATCCTTGGCCCTCTGTATCCTTGGATGCAGAACCCACGGATGTGGAAGGCATAAGGGACATGAGCATCTCTTGGATTTTGATATTCCTGAGAGGGGATCCTAGAACCAGTTTCCCATGGATATCAGGGGAGGATTGTGATCTTAATTATCGTTCTGTAAGTAGCTTGTCATGGTAAAGGAAACCTGGGAGGTGATCTTTAGAGAGAGGAAATTAGGAATAGGGATTAAGGATATCAGAAAGTTGTTACCATCTTTTTTTTCCTGAGGAAAAAGTTTCTGCTTTTTTTATATATAGAAATGTTAGCAATCTAAAGTAGGAGTTGTTCATTTTGGACCAGAGATAAAGGATTCATAATGTCTTGCCAAAAATTGACTTGTATGTTCATACCTAATAATAAGACCTTATAGAAATATTTTAGTTGAAAAATATCTGATTTAGAGGCTACTATCTGTTTTCTCTGAGAATACCTTCCCTCTGACCTGAGTTTTGTGTTTTGGGAAGAAGTTTGATATCAGCATTGGTTCTCTGGTCCTTTTCTCTGGATATGCATTTAACTTTTTGACACTGAAGGGAACAGGATTTTTCTCTGTTTTTCTGTTAGAGATTTTAAAGGATGTAAATGATTCCACATAATTAAAACTGCTTATTTTTCAGAGACAAATATTCAAGAACTGCTTTCAAAACTGAATGATATTGTTAAGAATTCAGATAAAAATGTACGTACTAGGGCACTTTGGGTGATATCCAAACAGACGTTTCCCACTGAAGTTGTTGGCAAAGTAGTGAGTATAGTTTTTGTATATGTCTTCTTAACCACATGCCAGTTAAAAACTTCAGACTTACTCGATTTGTATTTATTTGGTTCTGTCTTTCAGGTATCGAGTATAATTGATTCATTAGAAATAGTCTTTAATAGAGGAGAGATGCATTCTGCTGTTGTGGATTATGAAGCATTAAATGTCATCATAAGGTATGAGTTTGTATGCTATGGAATTTAGAAGAACAGTTTCAGTAAATTTAGAATTTACTTTAAGGAGTAGTCTTATGGGACTTGAATTTGAGTTAAATATTAAAAGAAGGAAATGTCTTCTAGACTAAAAGCAAGTAACAGGAAGAAGGAAGTAGATGTGCATAAGTTACTAGGTTTCTTTATTTTTACTGAGACAGTCCTTAAAATACAGCCTTGGTTCTGCTGCTGCTGCTAACACACTTCTGGTTTTAAAAATTATTTCTGTTAAAGCTTTTGCAAGAGTTTAAAAAATAATACAGACTTTTACGTGAGCTGTAACAGGCATTTAGGAAAGCATTAAATAATTCCTAGCAGCAGATGAGGGGAACAGGAAAATCCCGTCTTCTTCCTACACATCCTTGCTTTTCATAATGGATGTGCTGACAGCATGAACCGTTGATATGCTTTGCCTTAACTTGTTTTTCATTCTTTGAAAGTTTTCTTTAGTTGTTGAGCTCTAAGTTTTAACTACTTAGTGTTCTGATGCCCTGATAGATGTTCACAGTGTATCATGGTTCTTTGCTGTCCTGTCTTATAAGAATATTGAACTTAATTCTGTAAAAATAATTAGTATTTACATTTTTTTAATCTGCAGGAAAGATGATACGTTCTCCTTATTTGAAAAGTTTATTAAAATAATAGGGAAGTCTACAAATTAGCAAT